ACAGTCACAACCCAGTCAGTCTTCAAAGCCAGACCTGCCAAATAGAATTTGCAAGCACGAATTCCTCAGCCTGCAGAACCGTGATCATATATGTATCATAACATGATACCTTTTCAATGTAAAGCATACCATTATAAATCTGCATGTTCTAAGGGTTGTGCACAACATTCCTGTTATCATGGCTCATGGGAGCAGGTTAGAGCAAAAGTAAAGTTCAGCTCAGCCAATATGCAAGTGCTCAATTCTGCCCCAAAATTTATGTGCATGGTGCTTTATAGTTATGGTTCAATTATCAGCCACCAGTCACCACTTTATAGTTATAGAGTTCAATTATCAGTCACCAGACATCTCTGCACAGCCACCTTCACTGCATGACATATATTGATATCCATTGTGTTTGATTCTCCCCACAGCATGGTGCCTTGTGCAACCGTAGAAAATATATCATATCTAGGCAGAGATATGATTGAGATTGAAACTGGTAAAAGCTGTTTGGTAGACTGTTACAGTCATTCAGGTGGAAACTATTTCAGCCAACTGCTGCCAAGGCCTTAGCTGATGATCAAGCACATATCTCAAGTCATATCAATCAAGCACATGTCAAAATCAAGCACACATATAATAGAGAATCCAATATCATACTTTCAGTCACACAAAAACTTGTGTTGAATAAGTGCTGCTTAACAAATAGATACTGATAATGCTTATATGACAGTTCCCCCACCATAAAAGCCCATTTCTCTCAACATCCCCACAAATGCCAACACAGTAGGATGAGTTGCAAATTTACCTTTGTTTACGTGAACCATCCGCATGTTCCACATAAGAAATCAACTTCAAAGGTAGCAATGTGAAGCACACGGCAGAAAGAGCAGAACTATATCACCACATCTTGAGGTTATCAAGATCCATTGCTTCTCCGGCTTCAGACCACGGCAGCAACTGCGATCAACTAACAAATCATCCTCTGCGTTTAATTCAATCAGAGCAACGGTGCAACCTGCGGGGCGATGCAGCTCCAACGCAACAACACGCAACAAACGTAACAAGGCTGTGGGCGGTACACAAACCACAACACAAAGCCACGCTTGTGCAATACTCTGCCTAAAAACTACAGCACTCGGATGAGACCCAGCTGGCCTGGTAGGAAACTTGTTTGGTAGATATGCTGGGCACACGCTGGGTAGCGTAACAGGCTATCAACCGAGGGATATACTACCAAGTTGAAAGGCAATACGACCAAGGCAGGTGATGCTATACCCACGACAGTTGTATATGCTGTTCACCGTTGCCCTAACTGGCCCTCCGTTGCAACCCACGACAGGTGATGCCATCCGAACGAAATACTTCGTCAGTGTATGCACGCATATGGCGTCACACCTCACAAACTCATGAGTAACAAACTAATTGGTCAGACTGGTAGGTGGACGTAACCAGCAGTGCTAACAACCGAGAAATGCAGAACATGTGTATTCAAAGAGCGAGAGAGATATAGAGCTATTTGTCAAAATACTACCCAGCCCTTTCCCCCCCCCCCCCCACTCCTTTTGTGGAACATTGCTCCCGGTTCCAGGTAAAAGGGAAAATAGTTCGAATACGCACTCTCGAACATCGGCGTTTTGCCTAAGCTCTATACTTTAAGGGCCTTATTCCTTTACAACTTTAGTTGGTAGTTCGTTACACTGCGCAGTATATCTACCAGACGAGTATTATACCAAGCCAGCTGAAACCTCATGCGATTGTTGTTTTCATACGCAAGAGACAAAACGCTTGCTTGCTGGGAATAGCGGTGTATGAATAATAGACACATCCATGGTAAGGGCTTCCAATCTCAAAGCTGTTCGCTGCGCTTGGGTAAAATCCTCTTGGGTTACTTATTGTAGCCCAGAGGGGTATAGCCTTGTTTACCCGGTAGCTTACCTTAGACTGGCCTAGCCAAGGCTGGGCCTACCCCTGTCCAGTGGCTAAGCGATCAAAAAATGCTGGGAGTGTAATTGCTATCTTTGAATCAGTTCTGTGCATTCTATGTGATATATTTAGTGCTTCTTCTCTGCAAGGTCGGAGCACATTCACATTGAAGTTACACGAGCGACAGCATTGATGATTAAGTTACACAATTTGGTGTATGGTTAGGTGACTGGGTCAGTGAAAATATTTGTGTAGGTACCTAGGTGGGGGTCTTAATCAAAATTTTGTAGGCATGTTCTATTTCTTGGTGTAGGTGTACTTTCCTACCTAATGTTAGAAAAAATCATTGCACACCATTTGTTGTGTTGAAGGCGGCACATATCATAAATAATCTCAAAACAGGTAGAATCATGCTCCTACCTTCAAATTTCAACAACGTTGATGGCGGGCCCCTGAGCGTGACGCTCACACCACACTGCCTGAACTCTTCTTCTTCTCTTTCTCTTCTTTCGCTTCTTCTCTTCTTGTTTCTGCGTTGCCGTGGCGTAAATGCAATATTTCTGCTTACCAAGAACTCTACAAAATGTACGGGACCAAGGCAAACCATTCGTCGTGTTTAAAACGTATCGTAAATAATTTCAAAATAGATAGAATCATGCTCCTACCCTCGAATTTTAATAAATACGATAGCGAGCTCCCGAGCGCCGCACGCACCGCACTGCACCGCCTCGACTCCCAAGCGCCGTTTCTCTCTGCGTTGTTGCGAAAGCACAATATTTCTGCCTTATCAAAACCATAAAACACATGTACCAAGGACCAAGGTGAACAATAATAAAGCAACCAAATTCATTTCTTATTATCAAGTTTTAGGGATCACATTTATGAAACACACAGGCCAGAATAGTCCAGAATATATCCTAAACTAGCCTAACCTAGCCTAACCCTAACCTAACCTAACCTAACCTAGCCTAGCCTAGGCCGTAGCCTAGCCTAGCTAGCCTACGCCTAGCCTAACCTAACACCTAACCTAACGCTAACCTAACCTAACCTAACCTAACTCTAAAACCTACCTAACCTAACCTAACATAACCTAACCTAACCTAACCTAACCTAAACTAACCTAACCTCCCCACCCTATATCCCCTTCAAACCCAGCGTCCCATTGGCGTCCATGTTCCATGCCGTATATAGGTGCCATATAGTGAGCTTTTATTTAGCTGCCATGTTCTCATTTTGCTTTACATTCCCCACCCAATCTCCCTGCAACCCATGGTCCCGTTGGCGTCGAGGATCAAATTTCATGGATTATTGTTACCTTGGCCCGGTACATTTGTATGGTTCTTGATGCTGCTTGATGCGCGGTAATGTTGTGACCCGCGCAGTAATGGCGCCGGTGCCGCGGGTGCTGTGCGTGTGCGGCGCTCGGGAGCTCGCCATCGTAATTATAAAAAATTGAAGGTAAGATCATGAATCTACCTGTTTTGTGATTATTTACGATATGTCCTGCCTTAAACACGACGAATGGTTTACCTTGGTCCCGTACATTTTGTAGAGTTCTTGGTAAGCAGAAATATTGTATTTACGCAACGGCAACGCAAAAACGGCGCTGGGGAGTCCACGCAGTGCGGTGCGCGCGGCGCTCGGGAGTCCGCCATCGAAGTTATTGAAATTCGAAGGTAGGAGCATGATTCTACCTGTTTTGTGATTATTTACGATATGTCCTGCCTTAAACACGACGAATGGTGTACAATGATTTTTTCTAATGTTAGGTAGGAAAGTACACCCTGGCCACTGGCATCAAACCTTTCCCAAATTTGGTGGGCTAGTAGCCATCTCTGGGTGCTTCTTTCCAGCCAACGTACATAGGGCACATGTACATTCAAAAAGTTAGGGGAGGGGCTCAAGCTCCTGGGCCCTGATCTCATAATTATCCCTGGTCACTGTTCAAACTTCCGGTCAAATGGTACTTTTGTACCTTCCCTGCCAGAGGGAGAGCTATGCTGATCATTGGCCAAAATGTGGAACATGCTTAATCAAACTGCTCAACTGTAGGTTTAAGATAAAAATTGTAGGTTGTGACTTATGTTGCAAGCATAATTTGTAATAGTAATAACTGTGAGGTGGGAAGGGATCATCAAAGTGCAAGAAAGCACTTATGGCTATACAGTGATGATTCTGCCCAACTTTGTGGTGTTAAAAAACAGACTGCTGGCTTACACCATCCCAGCATATCTAGGTTTACAGTTGAGCTCCAGATGACAGTATCTTTATATCAGGGTGGCTGACCTAACAAGATGCCACGGCCAACATACCAGCCACTGGATGACTCAGCAGAGGTGGACCCTCTGCCTGTGGCTGGTCCATCTGCAGCAGCATTTTCAGGCAACAGGGACATCATCAGAGACAGAGCTGGTGCTGCTACGGCTCTGGCGGAGGTAAGCATTGCAGCTGCTTCAGTAAGGACTGAGATGAGTCAGGTCTGTCTGCTGCTATACACAGGTAGATAGTTGTGCTGTTGTAGATGGTGGGAGACAGTCACATGGCTGGGTGGTGGCTGCTGTCTGCACTGCTGAACTCTTGTAGCCCTCTGTCATGGACAGACATGCTGTGCTGCTGTCACTGCTGCCATCAGCTGTTGCACCATTGCTGCTGCTGTCACAGGTGCATGTCTGGCATGGCTCTCACTGCTGCCACAGATGGAGCCTTCTCTGACAACTGGCTCAGGCACACTGCCAGGCTCTCACTCTGCAGGGCTTGGGGTGGTGCCAGAGGGATGCTCTTTGAGCCTGTGTATTGCATGTTAGATATGGTCCAACCTTGTCTGTGCGCCTGAGCTCATGTGCCGGTGCCAGCTGTCACAAAATTGGCCACTCCTGTTTCGGTTATGTTACGACGTATTTCCAGAGTACAGTCTGCCGTCCAAAGTCAAAAACACGTAACTAACATTTTCATCGAAATGGAGTTACTGGTATCATTTAATTTGTCTCGACAC